TACAGGAATATTGGAAGGATAAATGAGATAAAGGGTATGAAAATACTCTGAATTCTTTGGAAGAAAGCTATTTAAGTCAAATGAATCATCACCATCATCCTTACTATTGTAAGGATTATTGCTACTGTAAGTGGTATGAAGAAGCTGTGTAACCCTGTAGTCTTAAACGTCTAAAGCTTCTAATGATGTTCTTTGTATAAATGAGTTTTTCTCCTCCCAAGACTCACATTCTTTGGAGGGATTTGCAATGGGATCAACTAAGTCTAAAGCACACGTCTAACATGTGACTCTTCTAGTCCAGTGGCTTCCTGTTGCCTCTAGGAATGAGTCTAAGTTTCCATGTTGTTTAAATCCTTCACAGTCTAGTTCCAACCTACCTTTCTAGCCTCATCACGCGTCGTTTCTTTTTATGAATACTCCATGGTGGAGCCAAGCTGACATTTTTATGATTACTCATCCATTGGACTTCACCTCCCATCTCCTTCACCCTCTAGCCTTTGGGCTGTCCCCCATGCTTCGAGTAGGCTTTGTCCTCACTTCCACTTCTTAGAATTCCTACTTTCCTTCAAGACTTAGTTCAAGTGCTACCTTCTACATGAGAGGTTCTTTCTTTTTTTAATTTATGGAACAAAACAGGTATTTCCATAACAGTATAATAAAAAATGATTACACATGAAACTGCAAATCTATTATGTACAACTTGTTATTCCTTTTAAATATATAATAAAGTTATCATGTAAATTTTACCCATTTTTTCTTCCCTCCTCCATCCCTCTCCCTAGATATGGCTACCATTAGACAGAAGTAGGTATGTATGTATATGTGTATATATGTATATATATGTATATGACATGTATATATATATATAAAATTATACATACTTCTACTTATCAATTCTTGATGCAGATAGCATCTTTCTTCATATGTCCTTTATAGTTAATTTGAGTATTGATAATAGTCAAAATGACTTAGTCGCTCAAAGTCATTCTTAATACAATATTGCTGTTACTGTATATAATATTCTCTTGGTTCTGCTCACTTTACTTTTCATTATTTTGTCCTAAACCTTTTTTGACATCATGGACCCTTTTGTCAAACCTGGGGAAGCCTATCGACCCTTCCCAAAATAATGTTTCTAATTCATAAAATAAAATACTTACATAGGGTTACAAAAGAATCAAATTATATTGAAATACTTATCAAAATACTTTTTAAGTATGCACAGACCCCCAGGTTGAGAAATGACGTTCTACATGTATCCTTTTCTATCCTTCTCCCCCATGCTGCCCAAAGTGCTAGTGCATAAAATTACCTTGTATCTATTTTGTATCTGCATACATATTTAGAAGCTATTTTGATCCCCATTTTACAGGTGAGGAAATTGAGGCAAACATAGATTAAAGTGACTTGCCCAGGGTTACCCAGTTAGTAAGTGTCTGGGGGCTGGATTTGAACTCAGATCTTCCTGACTCCAGGCCCAGTGTTCCGCCCACTGCACCACCCAGCTGCCTTACATGAAGGAACTCATGAAGATAATTTCTTTGAAGTATACAAGAGCTTCTTAACTGCATTGGTGATAGCAATATGTATTGATTATTTGTTCAGCAGTCATTTGTAAAGCACCCATTAATGTACTAGATTCTATGAGAGGTGCTGGGTTCAGATATAAAGAATGAGAGAGTCTCTGGTGACAACAAATTTGCTTGTAATGGGGAATTCAAGAAAAGCCTATAAATACAAGATAGTTAGGGAAGGACAGCAGAAGCGGGAGTGGTGGTGAGGGAATCAGGAAAGGCGTCATGCAGAATGTGATACTTGAGCTGTATCTTGAAGAATGAGATGATGGTAAAGGTACGGAGGGGGTACATTTAGATCCCCATAAAATCATGGGTGCCCCTGTTCAGAATTTATCTCAGTAGTATTTTGGTTGATTTCTAAGAATACTTGTATATCAGTGTCTGTATATGTATAGCTATAAATATTATATGTAGAGTATATTAAAATACATTTTGAATGTATGTAAAATATAAAACAATATAATCTGTATTATAATGATACCATGATATAGTAAATAGAGATGCTAGCCTTGGAGTCACTAAGAGCAGGGTTCAAGACCTTTGACACTTATTAGCTATGTGATCCTGGTGCGGTCACTCTCTGCCTCAGTTTCCTCTTCTGTAAAATGAGGATGATAATAATAGCACTTACCTCCCAGGGTTATTGTGAGGAAAAAATAAGATTTTTTTTTGTGTAAATAATGCCTGGCACAAAGTAGGTACTTTGTTGTTGTTAATTGTTTCCAATTCTTCATGACTCCGTTGGGGGTTTTCTTGACAAAGATCCTGGAGTGGTTTGCCATTTTCTTCTCCAGCTCATTTTATAGATGAAGAAACTGAGGCAAACATTGACTTGCCCCAGGGTCACACAGCTAGTAAGTATCAGAGGCCAGATTTGAACTCACGTCTTTCTGACACCAGTCCTGGAGCTCTATCCACTGCCATACCTAGCTGCCCCAAAGCAGGTGCTATACATGTCTATATCTATACCTATAAATTTATATATGTAAGTGTGTGTATATGTATGTGTGTATATATTTATATATATATACATACACATATGCAAAGATATACAAACATATACATAGATATATACCTATAAATTTATATATGTATGTGTGTGTATGTATATATACACACACATACACAAACATACATACACACAACATACATATACACTTATATGTTCTTATTCCCATCCCCTTATTTCCTTCTTGTGATGCTTCTGGGCAAATCCCTACCTCTCAGTGCCCCAGGCAGCTCTCAAAGACTGTGTTTGTAACCACTATTCTATAGACACATCATAGATTCTCTCCTGAAATGCTGGTCCCTGTGTATACTTTGGGGTTTCTTTTACATTCTTTCACATTCTTTTACATTCTTGGCTTAGAGATCCTACTCAAGAAACCTAATAAAAACATATGAATGGTACTTCCAGCATACTAAAATATACTACCCACTTATGAGCACATAATTCAGAATATCAGAGAAGTTTTATTAAAAGGAGGCAAACAAAACAGAAAACCTTAAATAAGCAACAATTAATCATTTATGGACCTAAATATGAGTTTCCTCCCTCTGCTGTACCCAGCAGATGTTGCCAAGAATTGCTCTCTTGCTGGAGCCCTCCCTCCTGCCCCCCCTTAGCAGGATTCCTGGGCCTGGTTCTCCTTCCAGGCTGTCCTGTTGTCTTCTGGGTGGAGGAGGCCAAAGCCCTCTGTAATGACCCATTTTTCTCTGTCATTAAGAGCATTAGTATGTAGCCATCAGACTTCAAAGTTCTGGCTGGCTGGCAGGAAAGTCATTTCTTTGGCATTGCCACCCTAGAGATGTGGTGCCAAACCAGAGATTTCTCACCAAAGCTATGCCCTTTTGTCTTTCTTCTTACACTGGGGGAAATCTCACGAAAGCTTGCCCAGGAAACCTGTCCTTGTTGTTCTGTCTTCCAAATTTAAGAGCAGTAATGTCAAACTGAAGACCACTAAATTGTACATGAGAAACCTTGCAGGGGCATATTGACTTAGAAAACCACCTATTATCATGATCAATGTTTTATGGTATTTTTATTTATTTTTGTTAAATATTTCCCAATTCCAGCTGGCTGCATATTGAAGATTCCTTGTCTTCTCCTTCCAGGTTCAGATATGGGCACCACAAATCTGCACATCCTTTCCCCCTCTGATACCTGGAAGGGATGTCTTCTACCTGAGAGAATGCTCACTACCTAGTTGACTAGGAGCCAATAAAGCACCCCAGTTTCTTCCTAATTCTCTCTTCCCCCCCTTTTTTTTGTCAAGGCAATTGGGATTAGGTGACTTGCCCAGGGTCACACAGCTAGTAAGTGTCAAGTGTCTGAGGCCAGATTTGAACTTAGGTCCTCCTAACTCCAGGGCCAGTGTTCTGTCCATTGTACCACCTAGCTGCCCCTGCCTAATTCTCTCTTAAATCCTGGAGAAGCTCTGGTAGGCAGACTTCCACAGGCTGTTGGCAGCTTCCCGTTTACCAGCTGCATGAGCCAGAGCTGTGCATTCTCCAGGGTTTCCAACATGATTTCCCTCCAGGGGCACATGGTTCATTTTTGGTGGAGGGAGAGGGGAGATCCTAGTGCTGGCACCCAGCACACAGGTATATAAAAATATGCACCTTGGATTTCAAAACTCTCTTTGCCAATCAAAATTACCTAGAGATAAAAAGACTTGCCCAGGGTCACACATACACATGTAGTGCATAAGAGTACAAATAACTTGGTCCTCGCGTGTGTTTATTTTGATCACATACCAGAAAAAGTCTTCCAGAGAGTTTTTCCTAGGAATTCTAATCCTCCCCATTGAATTGGCTTGTGAAAAGAACCTCCATTTGTCTCCTCCAGGATTACTTCTCCTAGAATTGCAGTTCAATTAATCCATTAATCAATATTATTTGTTATTAATTATTATTAATATATTTATTATTAATTAATGTTAGTATTGTAGATTTATTTTATTATGTAATATTATTAAGCACCTACTATTGCCAGACACTATACTAAGCACTGGAGATACAAATATTATCTCATTCAATCCTCCCAACAACCCTGGAAGGTGGGTACCATTAGTGTTGCCATTTTTATAGTAGCACAGAGGTTATGTGATCTGTCCAAGGCCATACAGCTGGCAAGTGCCTGAGGTCACATGTGAACTCTGGTCTTCCTGACTCCAGGCCGAGCACTGTACCCATTGTACCACCAGCTGCCTCCTGTTGGGGTGGACTCTTTCCCTCATCTTCTCCTATGCTCCCCTATTCTACCAGCAGAGGCCATTCTGAGAACTGGGGAGATAGATGAGCAAATGAGCTCCAGTTCTTTGGGGGTACATACTTAATTCTCTACTCTTTTTCTCAGTGAGTATAAACTGTTTTGCAATAATTCTACGCCTTTCATTCTGACTTTCTTTTCTTCCTCCTCAGGCTTGAAGAGATGCCTGTGATTGGTAATTGCCATACACAGAGTTGCAGGTAATTGCCATAGACAGAGTTGAAGGGAGAGGTAGGGGAAGGATAAAGTAGTGGATGAATCTCATTAGGGTTTTTTTCCCGTCTTTTCTTCTCTCCCTATTATTCTAGACATAAAGTTTGACACTGTTTCTCCAAAGGAGCAGATCGGATCATTGAATCAGATGTGGAAGGGACCTTAGAGGCTATTGAGTCCAATCTTCTTTTACAGATGGGGAAACTGAGGCACAGAACAGTTAAGTGGCTTGCTTTGAGTGACAACACAGTTCATAAGGGCCTAAGGCAAGATTTGAACATAGGTCATCCTGACTCCTTGTCTAGGGTCCCATCTATTAATCCATGCCTGTTAATCATAAGCTCAATCTTTCCCAGTTGGAAGAAAACTGCGAAGTCTAATCTAATCCTTTACTCTCTATAACTTCCTTTAAAAAATAGTTGTCTGGTTTCTGCTTGAATACCCGTATGTCAGTAGGTCTCCTTCACCTTTGCAAGGGAAGAGCATCAGGATTCATCTTCTGCAAACTTGGTTTCATACATGTTTATTCAGGAATAGATGTGTACCCTGAATAGCAGAGGGATGGTGTGTGTGTGTGTGTGTGTGTGTGTGTGTGTGTGTGTGTGTTTGTGCATGCATAAGGTAAACTCTCTTCCTTCAAGAGAACAAAGATTTTGCCTTTTAATTTTGATGTATGTGGTAGTAGACCAGAAAAGCAGGTGGACCAGGCTGGTAGCAAGATCAAATGATAAAAAAATAAACAGGGCGTGCCACCAGGTACCCTTCTAATGTTAAGAAAAGCCCTAGACCAGAGCCCCTAGCCTGTTGGGTGAGCGCCTATGGAAGATGTACAAGAGGACATGGAAAAGGGGTGTGAATGTTGAGACAGGGTGCGTGGTTGGAATCTTCACTCCTGAAGGCAGTAGCCACATTGGAGAGAGGTCATAGATCCACTGAAATACTGTCATGAAAACTCTAAACATAATTGACCTGCAGATCCCAGGCCAGGTGAAGGGATAACAGAAATACTTTACTGATTCTCAGCCAGAACTCCAGATTTCCTCCATGGGATACAAGTCTCTCCATTCCCTCAGTCCTGTTTCAGGAGAGAAACATGAATCCCATCTCAGCCACACACTTCATTTGCAGAGACCATTCCTGATCTTTTAAGGAGCTTCCAAGCAGCCTGATTCATTTCACGCAACTTGGCACTGGCCCATTCTTCTGGCAGCATCTCAAACTTGCCTGCAAAGGCAAACACATGGTGACTTTCCAGCAAGTATGTTTATGGGATTATACAGCGGGTTCTGAAGATTTGGTTTTTGCTTTCTTTGGGAAAAAAAATAAACTCTGGCTTATTATCCTCGTTGGCTCTGACCTCTTAAATTAATCTTATATTAATGAGCTTCTTGGTTTTTCCTGTGTATGATATCAGTGACAAGGAAAGGGACTGAACAGAATTTTTTGTAAGCCGAGGGGCTGGTGAAGCAGTGATACATATGTTACCTCTAATCCTAGAACCCAGGCTTAGGTGGTTGCCCACGTGCAATGATTTAAGAGACACTGACAGATCCACTTGTCTGAAGATAATTTCCTCGGGCCGGCCGTGGTGCCTACAATTCTGGCCTCTTTGTGTACGGTAAGGCATCTTCTCCAAAGTATCCATTAATGGCAATATCACCAGTAGAAGTAGAATCAGAAACCACTAAGTTTTACTAACCACCTTAGCAAGCATTGCTTTGTAAGGAGAGGGGTGGCACAGTGGGTAGAGTGCTAGACTTGGAATTATGAGGAGCTGAGTTCAAATCCCGCATCAGATACTCATTACCAATATGATCCTGGACAAGTCAGACTTCATGTGCTTCTTGTTTCTTCATCGATAAAACTAAGAGCTTAGACTCAGTGCCTTCCAAGGTTGCATCCAGCTCTAAATCCGTGATATGTGATTAGATGTTTGTTCTCTGCTTTTCAAGGTGACAGTGCTAAGGGAAACAGACACAAGACAGAATGTTGTTTCTTTTTTTAAATGGGGGATAGATGGGTGGGAAAAGGTTTATAGCAGGGGTACTACCCTACTGAGGTAGACTCTTGTAGGACAGAATGAAGACATTGAATCCATGGTGGGAGTTGCCAAAAAGGCTATAGGCCAAGAGCTGAAAGAGGTCTCAGAAGCTATTTAGTCTAACCTTTTCATTTTACTAATGAGGAAACTGAACCACAGAGAGGTTAAGGAATTTGCTCAGGGTCACACAGGTGGTAAATGTCAGAAGGAGGATTTGAACCCAAATCTACTACATTTCCCACTATACTACATTGCTTGGAACATATAGAATTTGCCTTAATGCAGACTTTTTCTAATGAATAGTTTTGCTTGGTGCTAGACCTATTGCGGCCTTGTAAAAATATTTTGGATAACGAATATAATGAAAGTATCTTCTGATTTTTTTTTTGGACTAAGACCAAAATTCATTCTTATTGTAACCACCTTTAATTTATTTATTTCTGGAGTGGTCATTCATTTGATCCTAATTGGAGTGGTTACTTGATAGAAACCAAGTGTAGTTATAGACTGAGAAATACTTTTCATGTCAAATGAGAAAATGTATTCTGGTTTAGCAGTTTCCTGCATTTAATCCAGGAATCCCCCCCCCCCAATTTTCTTTTTCAGTACTATAGACAATAGCAAATTGGGAACATGCTTCTAGCCCTGAGGTTGAAGGCAAGTGGAATGTGTAATGAATTTTAAAAATCTGTACCTTACAGTTCTGTTTTCCTTTTTTGAGGAATTTTCCTTTATGATGACCCCTTCCACTTTACACTTAACATTTGAAAGGATTCTGAAGGACTCTGCCTTCTCAAAGCTCCTTGCCAAAGATTTTAGCATTGTCATCATTAGTCCCTGAAGCCGAAACTGCAGGCAATTTTAATCCCAGGGCTTTGAATTCCCCACCTTTGTGTTGAGATTAGGAACACAGGGGATAGCCTTTAAAGGGGTTTAGCAGAAGTTTTTTTTTCATTGCCTCTCAATAAAAGCACCAACCTTTGGCAGGGTTCTTTCCCTATTGTTAGTAATTTCAGTGATTTACTTGATGGTGAATAGAAGTCTGTACAAAGATGGCTGTTTGAAAAAATATATTTGAAATGATAAAAGGGCTTGGTACTGCAGACCACAACTTCATATGCTCACAGCTTATTTCTATAAAGAAAAAAAACTTATTAAACATATACGCAATCATATGCTTTGTGTTATTTTACAGTGCTCAAAGTGGGAGAAATCAGGAAGTGAGATGATGGCCACTTACTTGGTCAGTACCATCAGCCTCTGATACCCCTTGTATCAGTATTGATTCTGACTGTACTTTCTTGCCCCATTCTTGCTTCCCCAGAATCACTATTTTAATAGTTTTTACTGATATATTTTGTTTTACATAGTCTAGATTTCCACCGTGCCCTACTGTCTTCCCCTTCCCAGAGAACCATCTTTGATAACAAAGATTTTTTTTTGAAAAAGGAAAGAAGAAAAAAATCAGCAAAATAGGGCAGCATATTAAAAAATAAATTGACAATATATGCAGAGTTTTCTACCTGTGTAACCCCTCCTTGCAACGGAGTATGGGATAGCGATGTCTTTTCATATCTCATCTTTGAGGCTGATCTTGCTTTTTATTATTTTGCAACACTTTTTTTTATTGTTTTTGGTTCTTTCCATTTATGTTGTTTTTTTTAAATAAAAGTTTTTTGACTTTATTGTTTTTACTTCATCTAAATTTCCCCTTGTATCCTTCTTCCTCCCCTTTTCCCACAGAAAACTCCTTTATAACACAAGAATTTTTTAAAAGAAAAAGGAAGAAAAGATAAAAAAATAGCAAAACCGGTCAGTATATTGAAAAAACTGATATGTGCGGTGTCATTATTGTTCAGTCATTTCGGTCGTATCTGACTCTCCATGACCCCATTTGGGGTTTTCTTGGCAGAGGTAATGGTTAGGTTTTCCATTTCCTTCTCCAGCTCACTTTACATATGAGGAAACTGAGACAAACAGGGTTAAGTGACTTGCCCAGGGTCACACAGCCAGTAAGTGTCTGAGGTCAGATTTGAACTCTGAAAGATGAATCTTCCTGACTCCAGGACTATCACTCAATCCACTGTGCCACATGCTGCCCTCAGTCAACTACTTCCCTTCCTATCCCAGATATATCCTTTCCCCCACTTTAAATAGTATTTTATTTTTTCCCAATTACATGTCAAGACAATTTTTAACATTCAGTTTTACAAGATTTTGAGTTCCAAATCTTTTTTCCTCCCTCCCTCCTCTCCCCTCTTTCTAAAATGGTAGGCAATTTGATATAGGTTATACACATGCTATCATGTAAAATATATTTCTATGTCAGTCACAGTTGTGAAAGAAGAAACAGATCAAAAGGAAAAAACCATGAAAAAGAATAAAGTAAGTGAAAAATGCTTCAATCTGCATTCAGAGTCCATCAGTCCTTTGGATGTGGATAGCATTTTCCATCGTGAGTCCTTTGTACTTGCCTTGGATCATTGTGTTGCTGAGAAGAGCTGAATCATTCATTGGTGATCATCACACAGCATTGTGATGTGCACAGCATCACGCAGTGCTGATGTTTTCCTGGTTCTGCTCATTTCACTTTGCATCAGTTCATACAAGTCTTTCCAGGTTTTTCTGAAATCTGCCTGTTCATCATTTCTTATTGCACAGCAGTATTCCATTACATTCATATGCCACAACTTGTTCAGCCATTCCCTAATTGATGGGCATCCCCTCAATTTCCAATATTTTGCCACCACAAATAGAGCTGCTATGACTATTCTTGCACATGTAGGTCCTTTTCCTTTTTTTAATGATCTCTTTGAGATACCAACCTTGTAGTGGTTTTACACAGCTTGGTTGCCCTTCGGGTATAGTTCCAGATTTCTCTCCAGAATGGTTGGATCAGTGCACTATACTAATGCAACAGTGCATTAGTGTCCCAATTTTCCCACTTCCATTCCCAATATTTATTATTTTCCATTTTTGTCATATTATCCCATCTAGTAGGCGTGAGGTGGTACCTCATAGTTGTTTTAATCAAAAGTAATTTAGAGCACTTGTTCATATGCTTATAGGTAGCTTTGATTTCTTCATCTGAAAACTGCCTGTTTATATCCTTTGCCCATTTTTCAATTGGGCAATGACTTAATATTCTTATAAATTTGAATTAGTTCTATATTTTTGAGAAATGAGGCCTATTTCAGAGATACTTTCTGTAAAGATTATTTTCCAACTTTCTTCTTTCCTTCTAATCTTATTTGCATTGGTTTTGTTTGTGCAAAGGCTTTTTAATTTAATATAATCAAAATTATCTATTTTGTAGTTTGTAAGGCTCTCTACCTCTTGTTTGGTCATGAGCCTGTAACTCACTCAACTTCTTTAAGAATTTGGATGCTATACTACTTGGTGCATATATGTTTAATAGTGATATTACTTCATTGTCTATGCTACCTTTTAGCAAGATGTAGTTTCCTTTTCTCTTTTAATTTTTGCTTTTGCTTCATCTGAGATCAGGATTGCTACCCCTACTTTTTTTTTTTACTTCAGTTGAAGCATTAGATATATCCATTTTGTCTGCACAAAAGCTTTCCAATTTCATGCAATCAAAATTATCTCTTTTATCTTTTGTAATTGTCTCTTTTAGTTAAAATTCATCCTGTACCCATAGCTGTAAAAGGTATATGATAGATTCTCTTCTAATTTTTTATGATATGATAATTAGTGGTCTGGTCATGTATCCATTATGAATTTTTTTTATTAATAAATTTATTTATTTATTTTTAGTTTTTAACAATCACTTCCATAAGATTTTGAGTTCCAAATTTTCTCCCCACTCCCCTCCATTCCAAGAGGGCATGAAATTGATATAGGCTGAACATAAACATTCATGTTCTACCTATTTTCACATTAATCATGTTGTAAAGAAGAATTAGAATCAATGGTAGAAACCATGAGAAAGAAGAAACATAAAAAAGAGAGAAAGCAAATAATATGATTTAATCTGCATTCAGACCTCGTAGTTCTTTTTCTGGATGTGGACAGCATTTTCCATCATGAGTCTTTCAGAGTTGTCTTAGATCCTTGCATTGCTAAGAAGAGACAAGTCTATCAAAGTTAGTCATCATATAATGTGGCTGTTACTGTGTACAATGTTCTCCTGATTCTGCTCACTTCACTCAGCATCAGATCATATAAGTCTTTACAGATTTTTCTGAAGTCTGACTGCTCATCATTTCTTATAGCATAATAGCATTCCATTACATTCATTTACCACAACTTGTTCAGCCATTCCCC